GAGTGCTTCCAGATTTTATTTATTTATTTATTTTCATTACACTGAGAAAAGTTTATGCTCCGAATTTTATGAATTATTAAAATAAATAATCATCATATGATGTTAATAATTTATAATCATATGATCAAATAAATGATCGTCTTGTAATGTTATTATAGTTTTGAAAATCACTGCCTGAAAATGGTCATTAAATTAAAAAATATATATATCAGATCTTGTTTGATTTTACCTTATTTATTTCAAAGCATAACATATTATCAATCTTATTTAATTTTACGTTATTTGTACGCAAAATTAAGTTCATAAATTCTGTGCTTAAAGTTTTTTTCGTTTTACCAAAGTAAAGATGTTTGTACACGAATTACGAGTGAAAAAAAATGCGCGAAATGCAGTAAAATGTGCTTTAATGAGATATATTAAATCCTATTTGGAAAAAACTGTAACTTTCATAATCTCATCACTATACAACTTATCATATTTAATAATTAAAAACAGTTATGTTATGCAAATGCCATAGGCTTTATTGTTAAAGTAAACCAGATAGTCCCTACTCTTTCTTGCCGACATGTCGGTGACGCGCGCCAAGCCCACTGGGTTAGTCTATCTCTTATAAGGTCCATGATCGCACTAGCGTGACGTTATCAGTTTTGTTGAAATACAGTCGTAACCGTCACATGATTATATGGCATATCGGTAAAAGCTGGATTCCGAAAAACGGAAGCGATACAGAGGTGACCAGAAACAGGTCAGTTGCCGTGATATTATATGAGATGTTTATTTTTATCTAAAGAATGGTGGCATGAACTGCCGGTTATAGAGGTCAAAAATAATTTAAAGCTTTGCTTGTCTTAAAAATTATCATTTTTAATTGCTTTTAATAACAAAGTAAAATACATTTTCTAAACTAACCCTTCACCGCGAATGTTTCTCTAAAAAGTATAATTCAAAAATAACAATACTTTTTATTGCATTATTTGAGTTTTTCATGACAGAGAAAGGAAATTTTAGTAGTGGGAGGAGCGAAACGATCTTATAAAGGAGGGAGTGTAGCCCGATGTGTTAAGTAAAATAGCAATTAAACGTAAAGGTATTAGAAATTTGAAGGCATTAGGAAGGGTGAGATTGAAAAATTATCAGTACGTACACAAGAAAAATTATTAATGATGTGAGAGTGTTCAAAGAAACCCAGTTGATTAAATGAAGAAGCTTTACGGACAATGTTTGCTTAGGAACACGGCAATTCACCGCGAACTTAATATTCCTGAAATTCAGCTGTGCATTGCTGAAAATTTCAGAAAATTCTTTATCAAATCCCAAAAGTGCAAACAGCACAATTCCGGTATTGAATTATGACTATGAAAGTAAAGAAAATCGCGAAAGGCAGCTTGCGGTAATACGTCACCTGAATTAATGTTTGTTTTGTTTAATCTCACTATTGCAGTTATGTATTTATTTCTGTTCATGATCTTGTTTTCTTTTTGCTGCGCATTACAATTTTCTATGCATTTTAATTGTTATGTATCAGTAGTGTACAATCACATGCCCATCCAGAAACTGTTTTTTGGCAAATAAGGCATTTCTTTTACTGTCAATAATTGCTATTCTGTGATTAATTGCTATGTAATTACTGCTATGGCTTTTACGCACTTACTCTTCAACTTCAACGTCTGACAACTTCAGGTGTTACTTTCGATCGGATTCTTTATGTATTTTCGTTGTTTATCAAACTTTGCTAAACACACTGTGCATTTTGTTATGAACTGTGACTTTGTGTTCATTCTTCTAAAGAATTATTCGGAACTCACACAGAATCGAAAATCGACACTGCATTACTCCGGGTTAGCGATCACAAGCGAGAACCCGTCATAGAGAAGCTCTCTGCCTGAGCCGACAATTTTTGTTGATCCCATATTATGTAAAATGCAACTAAGTGACCGTCGTACTTAGAGAAAAAAATTATTTTTTTCCTTTCGATAATTAATTCATATTTCCTGATACGAAATTTCAATGCTTTCAAATTTGGCCAATATATACCAAACAGAACGATATATATCAAACTATGCTAAATTACGTAAGATCTAAAAGCACATATGGGATCTTTAAGAATCGAAAAATTAATTTTACTGATAGGTGAAAAAATGACTTAAATATTGAACTTATGTAGAAGTCAAGAAATTTTGTAATTGATAGTAAGTTTAAATAATTATTGGGTACGTGTCAGCTAAACATCAGTGTCGGCTTAATGCCCTGCTGACTTGACCTGCCTTGACAGTTAAATGTCTCATACCTAAATGTCCTGAAGGCTAACTCTCTGTGCCGGCTAAATGTCCTGTCGGCTAAATGACCTGTCGGCTAAATGTTCTTTCGGTTAAGTGTCCGTATCGGCTAAATGTCCTGTCGGCTAAATATCCTCTCGGCTAAGTGTCCGTGTCGGCTGAATGTCCTGTTGGCTAACTGGTGTCGGTTAAGTGTCTTGTTGACTAAGTGGTTGTCGGCTAAGTGTCACGGACCCATTTAGCGCAACGTATCTTGCAAAATCACAATCTTTATTATTTTACGTATATCAAACCATCCTTTTTCAGATAAGATCTTTCCTAATTATATTTGAATACAATAAGTTCCAATTTGAAGTATGACGTCATATCTTAAGAAAGTAAGTAGCAACATTGATGAAAAGCGTCTTACCAGCAGGTGAGCTTATGCTAAAAAAGGGAGAGTGTCATAGCACTTTAGATGAAGAAGATTGGGAAGCGGAAAGGTTTAGTTCAGAGTTTTGGTTTGCAATTATTTTGATTGGACTAGAGGTAACTGCATTAAAACGTTACGTAAGATAGAAAAGTCTGGAACCCTTCAGAAGAGATGAATTTAGGGGCAGATCACCGAATTTAGAATGTTAATTTTGAGGTCGCCAATTATTCTTTCTAATATGTTTATTCATAGACATAAATTTGTAATAGCGCTATAGCAATAAATCAAGTCTATCAATTATCTTAGTTTACTTCATATCATATCTATCATCCTATATTTATCTTACAAAATAATGCAACAAGCGTGTCGACTATCACGTGTGTTCATTTTACAAAATTAATTTAATTTCATACAAATTTTATCTTTGTTAATATAGGATTTGCTTTATTTTCATATGCCAAATATTCACACTTAATATATTTACATTGACATGAATAGGCATCAAGATTTATACAACAAACAAAGAGCGAAGAATAATGCATCATGAGGACCTTGATATTCATTTACGTATAATACCTCAGAAATATTCCCAAAAGGATACCATATACATTACCCACCTGTCATCAAAAGAAACCTTTCGCAGAGAGAAATTCGTCAAGATGTTTATTCAACAAAGATACAGAGAATATTTGTGAAGAAATACTCTGCATAAGTGATCTGCTTATCATAAACTGTACATTAGAACGATCTTTGATAATTGAACTAATAATTAATGAGAAAAATTGCACTTAGGATATAAAATACCGTGATAATCTAAATTAAGTGTCCCGCGTAATGTTCTGAATTTCGATACGTTTATATGCTTGTAGAAAATGTAACGCTTCATCAAATGGTAATGTTCATTATACTGGCTAGAGAAACTGAATGCTGATTTTAGTATTAAAAAGTCGTATTCAGTAAAATGCGGAAAACTGAAACGTTTATTTAATTTAAACATAATATTTTTGATGGTAATACAGGTGTAATGGAATTTCTCTCTGTAATTGAAAAACCTTACTAGCATTGCAGCTGTTTTGCCAGGGATAAGTGTCTGAAGAATTCTGATCGGGAAAAATCAGTTATTCTATTTCGTGTCTGGCAAGACAACTTGTGAATGTATTTGTGTCTATTCAAAATTCTTCCTAAAATTTTATTAAGATGTCTGAAATTTGCAATAACTAAATTTGATTTTTAAGGAACATTGGAAGCGTCATTCATGACAGCGTAACTGGCGTTTTAAAGCAAAAACAGTAAAACCCGTTTCCCCACTATTCGACTCAGTGTCTCCTTTTTAAACAAAAGGCATTTGAGCAAACGAGCTTAAGTTCCTTGATGTATACAGATCTCTGTCATGATTTAAAATACGTACTTTGCCAATTTTTTCATTTCTGAGCCAGCTATTCTCTCTTATTAGAGTTGTACAATAAGGCCAATATTTGCAGACATTTGAAATTATCCAAAACCACACAAAGGCGAGTTTGTGACATATCAAATGAGGCGTCAAAATGTAACAACAATATACTTTCATTCCAATAATATTTTCAAGGTGACACCTATTATTTTTAACATTTTAACTATCATTTAAGCTTTTTACGAGAACTTGTAAAAAATCATGGGAATATTTTTGTATTTCTTTATTTGCATTGTAAAGTCAACAAATGGCAGCTATCTTCTTTAGGAAAACGAATTTCTCTATTGCCACCCACGAAAATTTATGGTTAACAATATTGTTGACAAAAATTTATGGTTAGCACTATTGTTGACAAAAAGTAGTTGAATATGGAACGAATATGAAGGCAGGAAAAGAACCTTTGTTATTCTAGCTTTAAACAATGCATTCCATGCTTCCCTGTTGGAATGATAGTAGGTTAGTCAGCTGCTTTAGCCGTAGGATTCAAATTTCGGAGAAGACATGGGTGTGCTTACGTGCTTACCCGAGACGTCGTCTGAATACAAATATTATGGTGGATTTTTACTAGCAAACAAAAGAGATGGCCAACGTCTAACATAGAAGTTCTGCAAAGACTCAATATTAACTTCATGCGTTGAATTTGCAAATGCATACAAAATTTTTTACCTTTTCATGTTAATAAACATCTCTTTTAAGTCACAATGGACTCACTTATTACATAACTGACCGGTTTAGCCATATTTTGGAATATTTTTCTGTGTACAAAAGTAGTATTTTTTTGTAAATTCTATACATTTACTTAGTCCTAATGATGTCATTTAAATAAACAAATAAAATTCTCTAAAGCTTATTTCTTTTTCAGCCACCACCTGATGACGTTAGTAATGGATATATTCGTGGTTACTACGTAGGATATCGAGCATCTTCATCGGCCGAGCCTTACACTTATAAACAAGTTGAGAGATCAGTAGAGAGCGACCAACAATCGACATACATAACAGGCTTACAGCCATTTACTAAGTACGACATTGTTATTAAAGCATTCAACTCCGCAGGGGCTGGACCAAAATCTACAAAAATCACTGGCAAGACGTTGGAAACAGGTAAAAATGGTGTACAGTGAAAACGGAAACGAAACCTACAGCACTAACGTTACCAGATATATCATGTACATATCTTGACATTTATATTTATATTTATATTTCAAATATCATTTTTCAGCTCCACCAACTTCACCTGTTGTTCAAGTGATATCAACAACGAAGCAATCAATAGAAATCAAATGGGAAAAGGATGCTAAAGATAAATCTGCAATTACAGGTAAATTATTTGCATTTAAAAACTTTAAACTATGTTGTTCATTTCTCCAGAATAACAGTCGGAAATGAGAAATTTGAAAACAGTATTGCTTATGGAGGAAAAAATGTGCATCAACTTGATTTTGTATGTGAAACGTCTTAAAAAATTAATTCACCAGTGGCGAGAGGCGTTCCACATTAAAAAAAATCTTTCTGTTCTAGTTAACGAACCTAATTCTAATTCATCTTTACCTTCAGCCTTTAAGGGAGTTATGTTTTAGTTTTCTTGTTTCATTAATAGATGGCGCCAGTAGTTTAACTTATTTCCAGCCATTCTTATATCTTATCTCGTTCATTTGCACTTAAACAGCTGAGGAAAATGGTTCTGTTGTTAAACTATCGAAACTAGTCCTGCAAAATTTGCAAATATTATGTTGATTCTTCTTATTTGACTTCTCCAATAATCGTTATTCAGCGTGTTATTTTAACCTACTAAATTAACTACTAAATATTTACAAAAACATAAGTCTGTTAAAATTGATTTCCGATTGTTCTCCGTTTATAGTGAATTATTTATTCTGCTCCACCATTTTAAGTTAAACAGTAGTATTTAATATACATCGTGACATTTATACCTAAATCATGAATTTGCGACAAGTGAATGAAAAACGTTCAGTTTGGAAACTTCGGACACATTTTGGAACAATGTTTCTGCAACATTTTTTCTTTTAAATGAAACTTGTGAAATATACATCCTTGTAATTTTCGCACAGAGTAAAATATCGAGAAACAAAATCAAAACAACAAAAATGCAGATTCACGATTTGGGTATAGTACTGAATGATATCAAGGAGTTTCGAATAAATGCAGTAAGCCTCTCACATATGTCCCGTGAAATGAAATGAAGCCATGAACCGTCACGGTATGACGTCACGACTCACCGTGGCCGCTGCTATAAACGGATTTCTGATTGTATACATTCTAACCGGCGTTGTCTACATGTTAGCTATTCATCATTGAACGTGTCTCCTGTTCTTATTTTAATACTTAAAAGATTTTCTACTTAGTGTATAGAAAAATCGTAATTATTGCAAATAACTCTTTCAAATTTAATAAAATCTGGGTACACAGAAGTGTGTAAATGGTAGCTGTAAGGCAAATGTATAGATGGTAAAATATAGAAAATTAGTGGAAGTTTCAATGGCATTTTATACAAATTGCCTAATGATACTTTTCTGAGTCTGTGAACGTTGATATTTGCTTTCAAATTAATTCAGTGTAATTTTATTTAACAATATGCTTCGTAGTCTTACCCGTACGCTGTATGGCGGCTATGATAAGTTTTGACTTAACGTTGCTTGGATTTCCTTGGCTTCACTTTTGTGACGTAAGTCTTACTCCATCTATTCTAACCTGCATGGATCATAATCATTGCCAAAGCTTAAATCTCACAAAATCCAAGCAAAACAAAAAGATAACTGGGCACCGAAACACGTGCAATAATCCTTGAAATAAGTATTACGAGTAGCAATGCCGATAGTTAGACAGCAGCAACATGTTCACAATAAATCATTTTCTTTGTTTGCCTTTGCTCTTTGCTCTTTTATTTATTTGTTTGCTCTTTTTTTTTATTTGTTTATTTAGGCATAATTATTTGAAAAATTGAATGAAATGCCCACAAGTTAAATTTCTGCGGACATAGAATGAACAGAGTCTGTTAGAGAGCATAAGACATTTAAATTCATTTATTATTTTATATTTTGTTATTGATTGTTGATAAGCAATTTCAGATCAACCGGATCAAGTGCTAGAAACAAACATCCGGTTTAAATTTAATTTAACAAAATGGAATTAATTTGCAGATCACAATTATTGCATTCTTAAGAAGTCGACAAAAGAATAAGCGACAGCAAATATCGATATAAAATAAAATATAATACAAAGACAGAGATATCCGGTTCCTAGTACAGCAGCTTATTTCACATAAAATCCCGGAACAATAAGAGAATTATATTAAATGGATAGGCCATTTGCCAACGCGAATTCTCTTGAAAAAATATCACCAGTGACCCACCCACATTCGTGAAACATACGCAGGGTTTCTAAATTAGATATAAAACATTTCCAAGGCAACACTGATATCAATAGCTTAAAATGTCATTGTCTCTCTAGCCATTTCTTTTAGATAAAAGCTTTCGTTTGTTCTTTTTCTTATACAAGTGATTTTGCAAATAGAACGCTGCTCGCAATGTCTGCCTACCGGGAGTCGAAGGGATTAAGTGGTTAAACTGTTGTTTCTGATGTAAAATTTATTGTAATGAAAGGATAGTCGAGCAGTTGTTTGTTTCAATTTTTTCAGAGGTAACTGATAGCAGTCACCGTGTGATCTAATATAAAATTGCATTTGTTTTTGTATATTATATTGATAGCTATTTTAAGGAGAAGTTTTCATTAAAATACGGTGAAGGAGACTCCAAATAAAGTGAGATATAGCAATATTTGAAATTTACTTAAGAGCACGTAAATTTGTAACCGCTGTTAATCTTTCGTCGAAGCTACTGTCGGGTATCTTACATCGGGCTGTAGCTACATAATTTTTAGTCCAAAGGGGCTTTGTCCCTGAAGGACTATTTATTTCGTTTTGCGATTTTGTGTTGAATCACTATAAATGTTCGTTTTACTTTTCAAATTGTTGCCACCAAACGTTAGAGTCCTGCATTATATTTGAAGAAATTAAATAATGAAACATCTGCATAAATGTGTGTATATTTCTCGCATTGTGATAGAATACAGTAAATAGAGCCATTGAATTTTAAATGGCGTAATCCTTCTACGAAAATGGGCATGTGAAGACCAAATTTGAAATTTGGAATTTGTTCTATTATCGATTTCATATTTTGTAAAACTTTAAAGAATTTTTGATTAACAAACTGAAGGATTTCAAAGCGAGCAACGGCAGCACTCTACGGGGACAAAAAAACCTTTTTATCTCCAGCGCACGGAACTGTGTATCGGAAATTCTAAAGATAGGCTCATTTTAAAATTATTTTGCGGCATTACTATTGAACTGAATTTTATGGTTTATGTGCAAAGAACATGATATTTGATAAATAATGGTAACATACAAAATGTTAAAAAAACGCCCCTTTATACGTAATTTAAATAATAGATTTTAAACGCTATTATTACGCTCGGCCATCCTTTAGGCCCTTGATAGCTTCGCCGTTTACGTTAAGGGGCCAACTCTGTTAGAATCATGATAGCTTCGGCTATATCTTTTTAGTTAAATTCAGTTCAGTTTTTCTTCTCAGTATTCCTGAGTTCAAGCCCAAGTAGAGGCTTTATTGTAAACTCCAAGAACGTGTCGTCTGTTAGATTTATTTTGAATAATAAAGTGTAATTAACCCTTAGTACGTTTACTTTTCTATCTGTCTGAACTAAGCGATTATTGACTTGCCAGTTCTTAAGGTATCAAGGGCCTTAAAAACTAACTTAACTAAAAAGACTAAAAAGCTAATATAAAAGACTAATATAACTAAAAAACTAAATATAGCCTTCGGCTATATCTTTTTAGTTGAGTTAGTTCACACATTCACATTACATTTTCAGCTGTAACTCAAAGGAAAGGAGTCTTACAATTCTTTAAATTAATATCAAGACACTTTTATGCTTCCTTTAACTAAGTTTTAAAATTAAGATTACTAACGTATAAGAAGATGTTATTGTGCATTTAGGTTTCTCCAGAGTAAAATACAAAAACAAGAACTAAGTTATTTATCATTTCTTTTAATCTACAAAAATGTTTTTTACATTTCTCTATGCTCTTAATATGTTATTTAAGCAAATATTCTGAGACCTGCTTTAATAATGGTAGGATTTTGGCTATTTTATTGAAAATAAGACCCATCTGCAAACTTTGCATACGTCTTCAGACGTAGAGTATTTTATTCTACAAAATGTTTAGCCATCATTATAAAAGTGTACTTGAAACAAATAACTTAGAGCATTTAATACATATACATCTTTTCCTTTCCATAAAATTGCTTGAACATTCTTTTTTTATACTCATCGTATGAAGAAAAGGTCAATATTATTATGGTTAATTTAATATTTTTCAGTTTTCTGCTTCATTTTCGGCTATTTTTTCTTTTGGAGTTTTGCTCTTTGTTTTTTCATTTTAGCACAAAAGTTACTCTTTGAAATGGTTGTCTTATTCTAATGATCTGTGTTGCGAATTTTTAATTTGATTCCTTAAAGTGAGACTTCTATCTTAGCTTCTGTTGCTGATTCGAATTCTTTGATTTTTTTGCCGATTGCTTTAATTTTTCTTTTTATAGATCTGATTTACATTTCATATTACTTACTTCTATAGGTCCCCCCTAATTTATCTTTTTAAGCGAACGTTAAAGTTGAATTTGGTAAAGGAAAAAGGAAGAAAATTATAAACGGAGGCGTTTTAATCAAATTATAAACTTCGCGCTTCTTAAGTTGCAGGTGCTATATTAGAAACTGGCGTATCGGTAGTATTAATGGCCATCTGTGTGATTATTCGCAACATAAAAGGAAAATTAAGAGCTCTGCGATTATGAAAACGTTTTTCATTTTATTTGTAATCAATAGCGGATATGCAATATTGTAATGATAAATATTATATTTGGACATTAATCGAAAATGAACAATCTCTGTAAATTATCGTTTTTCGATTTTCCTCGTGCATGCTTTTTATTACATGCAACTAAATTTCTCCATTTAATTATATGTGTAGAGCGAATGAAAATTCTGAATGCTTTGTAATTCAAAATTGCTTTCCAGACTGAAATATTACATTAATGTGAAACAAAATAATGTTTATGAATGAAAACTAAAAGCTTCTTTTATATTATTTTAGTTAATGTTTGAGGATAAATCTCAATTAGATATTTTCTGGAATTAAAATGGCGTATTTTGAGTTAAATGTAGATCAGTTAGAAATTTATTGTTTACACAATACTAATAATTTATTTAAAAATCGGCATAATAAAG